TTTCAACTTTTTGAGGAGCCGCCATACTGTTTTACATAGAGGCTGTACCAATTTACATTCCTACCAATACTGTACCCGAATTTCCATGTCTACACACTCCTTCCAACCCTTGTTCTTTCTTGTCTTTTTAAAGATCACCATTCTGACAGGTATGAAATAGTAATCTCATTGTGATTTTGAGTGAGAGCTGTTTTAATATCAAGGCAAAAAGCAGATACATTGCAGTAGGTTCATGGTGAATGGATGTGGTGGACTGAAAATCGTGCATGTAGATAATATTAAGTTTGGAAGAAAGGGACCTCCATGGTGGCGCAAGGGGTTAGGTCTCAGCTCTAAGAAGCTATCTGCAGCCATTGCTGCATGAGTTCCATCCCCAGCCATCCAGAGAGCTACCCACATGGTAGAGCAGACCTCTCCTGTCTCTTCCGCTGCTCCCCTCAGCAGTGTATTTCAGTACATTCTCCTGTTCTGCTCCCTACTCTGTCTCTGGTGAATCCTCTCACCCCCCACACCTCTGGCCTGTACCCCAGTTCTTGTATGAATAAATAAAAAAATCTTAAAAAAAAAAAGTTTAGAAGAAAGAATAAAATAAAACAACACCAACAAAAACAAACAAAAAAAGAAGTTTGGAAGAGGAGAGAATCAATTTGTCCAACTAGATCAAGCTAGGTGTGCAAGAATTCAGTGGAGGGTTTCTGTTGCACAGTGGAGGGCCAGATACCTGTTGATATCCTTGACTAGTGGCTTTTCTTGTTGTGAACATTAAGTTAAGCATCACAGTGGAAAGGATGTTTTTTTTTTTCACAGCCGATTTGTTGTGTGAATCGCTAGGACATTATTTGTGTGTGTGCATGCCAAGGCTGCACACAGGTCCAAGGTTACATGCAAAAGGGGGTCTGTGATGAGGCCAGGGAAATACAAAATAGGGAAAGAAAGTGGGTGAGGAAACTGGATGTCCCAGTGTAGGTGCTTGTGTTTCAGAAAAGCTCTCAGTTCTCAGGTCTGTCCACGAAGGTTCTAGAGAGGAACTGGTCTTTCAAGGAAGCTACAATGACAGAGAAGAGTTTGGTGGGTGGGAGAATGTACTTTTCAGGCACTATTTATATTTGTTTATATGTCTTGTTGAAGAAAACTTATTTTTTTTTTAAGATTTACTTATGTATGCATACAAGACCTGGGGTACAGGCCAGATATGCAGGGAGTGAGAGGATTCACCAGAGACAGAGTGGGGAGCAGAACAAGTAGATTGACTGAAATACACTGCTGAGGGGAGCAGCTGGGAGTCAGGAGAGGTCTGCTGTACCATGTGGGTTTCTCCCTGGCTGTGGATCGAACTCATGCTGCAGAGGCTGCAATTGCTTCATTGTGCGGTGCTTAACCCCTTGCGCCACCAGGGAGGCCCATGATGAAGACTTTGAAGTCAGAAAAGAAGTGTGTACAAAAGGCCTATGGGCAGATGACAATTCAATGTAATACTTATTTGGTGCTTCCTGTTGGTCACTGTTGTAAACACTTTATTTGTATTTGCTTGTTTAACTCGTAACAACAGTGCTTTGATGTAGAAACTGTTATTATCCCCATTTTACAAACGGACAAACTGAGGCTCAGAGTGCCTAGTGGCTTGCCTGTGTTGCATGACCTTGTAAGTAAAAGTAACTAAGCTGGGATTTGGGTGCAGGGAGGCTGGTTGCAGGGCCTTGTTCAGGGCTGGGGAGAGGAGTGGCCTACATAGTTGATCATCCTGTGCTGACTTGAAGTGTGTGGTGCTGAGGCCTAGGCCTGACTGCAGTGGGGTCGACAGTCACAGTGGTGTTCGGAACTTGGGGTGAAGCCACAGGCAGGCAGACCTCTGCAGTCCCACATCAGAGAGCAGGGGGATTCCCTGAGGGAATGGCCTGTTCTTTAAACCAGAGAAAAGAAGCCGGCTAGGGAGTGGTGATCCTGATTGATGAAGGGGAGGGGAAGAGGCCTGTAGCTGATGGAGGATAAGAATAGAAAAACTGGAAAGGAGGTGCCACAAGATGGAGAAACTCACCTGGGAAACTTGCCGTGTGCCACTGAAACGGGAGCTCTGGTGAAAACTTTCCCAGAGTGAACTCAAGAACCTCGCACTTCAAACCTACTGACTCTAAAAAATGACATCATAGCCACCGGGTTTGTGAATATACGTGATGTCATGTGAATGTTTAGATCTGATGGCCAGGGAGGATTCAAAAATAAAAGAACTTTAAACTTTTAAACTCAAGTGATGCAAAAATAACCATCAAATTCATATGCTGTGATTTTTTTTTTTTCTTTTTTGCTGTGTGTGTGTCTCTCTGTTTCAAAAGCTGGTTTTTACTTTAATTAGAAGCTGTTCTTTATTTGGGTGGTGTCATAGATTGCGCTCTTAGGAAGCTGACTCTGAAATATCAATTACTGTACCAAGACATTTATTAGGGAGTGTTCTTGGGATCCACACCTGGAGAGGAGGGGAGCAGATGTGGGCCGAGGGGAAGGTGAGTTGCACAGTAGTCACAGCTTGGCCTAATTTTGCTCCATAGGGAGCTGTGGGGCCCAGTAGGCTTCATTGTTGAGTCCGAGTTGCTGGGGCTTTATTGCCTTGCTCCTCCTCCCACTGGGTACAGCTGTGCCTGTCCCTGGGAGGAGGGTGCCCCTGGAGGTAGGATGCCCTGGGTCTCATACCCCTGGGTGAGGGAGCAGTTTCCCCTCTGCTGGTGGCTAAGGGAGGGCTTTCTTCTGGCAGGTCTCCCAGCAACCTGGCCAACGGGAGTCCCTCATTCCTGAAGAGAGATCTGCTTCAAGCATCACAGTTGTAAAATTTTGAGAATCTTAAAAAAACAGAAGGCAAAAAGGGCCTCCCCTGGTGGCTCAGCGGTTGAGCAGTGGGCTGCGAGGCTGCCCGCAGCCTCTGCAGGGCCGGTTTGTTCCCTGGCCAACGGCAGAGGGTCCCACAGGGAAAAAAAAAAAAAAAAAAGGCAAACAAGCAAAAAATGAAGGCATCTCATTGATTAGCTTTCTTAATGAAAGTTGAGTAAGAAAGTCCTCAGTTTTCAGTTCAGTGAAAGTTGCTTAATTTAATGTCTGTGTCTGATATGACATTTGATTAAATGTATTAAAGTATAATGCCAAATGTACAGATACAGGGTAATAGTGTTAGAAATAATTTATAGGCAAAATGGGCCTGACTTTTATTTTTTAAAGGTTTTTTAAAAAGGTTTTAAAGGTATTGGTTTTTGCATAGAAGTGGGGTGTAGGCCAGAGGTGTGTGGGTGAAAGGATTCACCAGAGACAGTGTGGGGAGCAGTACAGGTGGATTTACTGAAATACACTGCTGAGGGGAGCAGTGGAGAGATAGGAGAGGTCAGTTAACTCAATTGTGGGTTATCTCCCTGGCTGGGGATGGCAGGAGCCATCACAGTGATAGTGCTTAGTCTTTTTTTTTTTTTTTAAATAGAGGCATGTTTTTATTTATTTATTTATTTGTTTGTTTGTTTGTTTTGTTTATACATGTACTGGGTACAGTCAGAAGCGCGGGAGGGTGAGAGAATTCACCATAGCCAGAGGGAGGAACAGAACAGGCAGACTGACGAAGTACACTGCTGAGGGGAGCAGCGGGCGGGCAGGAGAGGTCTGCGTGCCATGTGGAACCCTCGCCTGGCAGCCTGGGATAGAACTGGCGCTGCAGAGGCTGCGGGGAGCTTCACAGCCCAGCGCTCAACCACTGCACCACCAGGGGAGGCCCTGGATGACATTTTATTCCATAGTTGGCTTCTGGTAGCAAATGACTTTTTGGAGACAGCCCGATTTATAAAGACTCGTATACTAAGGAAAGAGGAGGCTTAGGGGTAATCATCTGAGTTCTGTCATCTCCTTGCTGTGAAATCTTTGGGGTCACTTAACCTTTTAGACACTTAATTTTCTCTTCTTTAAAATGGGGAAGATATTACTTATCCAGACTAATTCACAGTGTTATAAAAGTATTCTCTAAATGTTAATGCTAACCAGCAAACAACACCTAAAGGACTTTAGAAAACACCTAAAGTTCAGAATGCTTCATCTTTCAGATGAGACAGGTAGTCTCGAGACCATGTTCACTTTTGTGAGTATTAAATAAAGGAGAAATGTACTTGCCTTTACCTGAGGAAGACAGGACAAGCGTCAGGCATTCTCTGAGCTTGAGCCTTGAGTGCAGGTATATTAAGTGTCATGTTTGCAGAATCCACTGTCAGTGGGTTTTTCTAGGGATGTGTGGCCCCATGTTATTTATTTAGCCTTGCCTCTTCCCTCCACCCCCACATACCTTCTCTGATTTGGATGGATCACCTGAGCCAGGTCCTGGTCTTGACTTAGTACCAGCTGTGTGATCGTAGGTGTACTTCTCATAGGCTCAGTTCCTCATGGAAATTTTGGATAATAACACTTGTCCTGCTGACCTGTCATGCTTGTTTCAAGGATCAAATGATATAGTGGATGCAAGAACATGTTCAGAAGCCCTGAATGCCCTACAGATGTCAGGGATTATTATTATTATCTTCTGCATGGCTCCTCCCTCCCGCCCTTGCCTCCAGCTTTGTGGGCTTCCTGCCAGGATCGTCTTGACAAGTGGCTGCAGTGACCTGTTGAGAAGCTTTCTTGCTTTCTCCCAACCATGAAATGTCATTTGCGAAGCTACTCTGGTATTCAGAGGATTCTAATTAGATTATTTGGGAGGGAGAGAAGGCGAAATTAAAAATGAAATAAATTTCATTTGCAAGAATTATTTCCTTTCCATTGATGTGATAAAAGAATATTGGCTTGCAATTATAGCAAAATGCCTATTGGAAGCTATTCTCTTTGCGATACTGGTCAGAAGGTATGAGGAGAGCTGGTAGAGCTCAAGTCCCTTCACCTTAGGCTCTTAGCACAGAGAAGTGCTGGAGAGCAGCTTTGGATACCCGGTGAGCATGCTGCTCTGCCTTCTGCACCTATTTCTCTGATGTATCCTCTTCTCTTCCCAGGCTCCCCAGCACTGGGCAGGGGTAACGTGCACACCTCCAGTCCTAAAGTGGATGTTGCTGAGAATAAATGTGAGTTGGAAGGGGCCATGGGGGTGGAGGGTAGGGAGGCACAGACCCCCAGAAACCTGGATAACATCTCACCAAAACCACAGTGGGGCACTAGTTCCCCATTTTCTCCACTTGCTACTGTTCCTTCCTCCCTCACACTTTGATCCTGTCTGCAGCTGTCATGTTGTACTGCTCCTACTCGGGCTTTACCTCGCCCCGTGTAGAGTGGAAGTTTACCAACAGGACTGGCACCACTCTTGTCTGCCACGACAGTAAGATTACCGGTGAGTGAGTCTCTCCTTCCTAGTGGCCCGTTGTGGAAGGATGGGTTGTGTCTAGGTTGGGGAGGGGGAGGGCGGGGGATGGGTGTGCCCAGGGGCTCATATGCCCCAGCCTGCCCATCACCCTTCCTGGGGGGATACAGGACAGTCCCTGTGTCTTAGGTGTCACTGTCACCAGAGTGCCTCAGCTCTCCAGCTCACTCTGCCCCTGCTTCCTCTCTCCTTGACAGCTTCCTTTGAGGATCGAGTCAAACTCTCGGATTCTAACATCTACTTCAATTCTGTGACCCGGAGAGACAATGGGACATACACCTGTATGGTCACTGACCCCAGTGGCAACACCTATGGGGAGGTCAACATCTATCTCACTGTGCTTGGTACCTGTCACTTGTCTTTGTGTGGGCTTGGAATCTACCGCCTTTAAATCCTTAAAGGCTCTGTGATGTTTTGAAGCTGGTGGGTGGGTGGGATTCAGTGCCTCCAAGGAGAGGATGACCTTATTTGGAATGACCTAAGGGCATTAAGGGAGGGAGGCTAGAGCTGAATGGGATTTCCTCCTAGTCCATACATATTCCAGGCAGCCCTCCCTGGCTTGTCATCAGCGCCTTCTCTCCCTTCCCAGTGCCTCCATCCAAGCCAACAGTCAGTGTCCCCACATCGGCCACCATCGGGAGCCGGGCAGTGCTGATCTGCTCAGAGACTGATGGTTCCCCACCCTCCAAGTACTCCTGGTACAAGGATGGGGTGCAGATACCTTTAGAGCCCAAGAGCAACCGCGCTTTCAGCAACTCTTCCTATACCCTGAATGAACAGACAGGGGAGCTGGTATGGAAGGGGAATTGGGGAGAGGTGGGAGGGGCATGGTTATGGGTACCCTGAAGGTGGGGAGGAAGAACAAGCTATATTCATGGTAAACTTGGCATTGGGGTCAGGAGACAACAAAGATAGGAGCTTGGTTTTCTTCAAACAGAGCCAATTTGATTTGTTTTCAGATCTTTGATCCTGTGACGGCTGCTGATACTGGAGACTACTTTTGCCTGGCACAGAATGGGCAAGGGTCACCCATGAAGTCAGAGATCGTGCGCATGGAAGCTGGTGAGCGAGGGTGGCTCGGACCACCTGGGGAGGCGGGTAGAGGTCTGATTTCCATCCTGAATTTGGTGCTGTTCTCAGTGCCCGGATTGAGCATCCAGGTGCCTGACCTCTCGTCTATGTCTCACAGCGGAGTTGAATGTGGGGGGCATTGTGGCAGCTGTCCTGGTGACCCTCATTCTCCTTGGACTGTTGATCTTTGGTGTGTGGTTTGCCTACAGCCGAGGCTACTTTGACAGTAAGTTTTTGCCCTCACAGGCTCTCTGACTCCACCTTTGGGCAGGGTGGGGGTCCTGGTACTGTGCCGCATGTGCAGTGTGCCAGTCCTGTCTTCCTGCACCGTGTGATCTTCTAGCCTGCTCAGGTTATGGTCCTGTTTTTTCTCTTTCAGAAGCAAAGAAGGGGTGAGTGAGCACCGCCGTGGGCTCTTCCAGGTTGAGGACATGACGGACATGCTTGGAAGCTGAGCTGGGCCCAGGGGAAGGGGTTGGAGATGGAGGCAGCTAGCCCGGGAGGGAAGACAGCGGGTTTGCGGCCCTGCTTGCTGTGGCCCTGGGCCTGTCCTTTCTCACAGGGCCTACTGCCCCACCCACCCCACCCAACTTCTGGAAAGCTCTCAGTTCCAGCCTCTGAAGCTGGCAGGCAGAGGTACAGGTGAGGGCTGAGTACCTTGTCTTCTGGCTTGTCTGCAGGACCTCAAGTAAGAAGGTGATTTATAACCAGCCCACCACCCGCAGCGAGGTGAGTGTGCCTGTTCTGGGACCAATGGGGCAGGGGGTGCAGCTGGAGTGGGGGTTCTGGCCTGTGCTCTGTGTTGGAGGAGTTATCCGCTACCAGGCACTATAGAGAGGTGACTGGATGTTTTGTTTCCTCAGGGGGATTTCAAACAAACCTCCTCCTTCCTGGTGTGACCCTGGCCGGCTGTCTCCTGTCCTCTGCTTGCCTTACTTACTCAGGTGCTACCAGACTCTGGCCCCTGACTCTGTAGTTCACAGGATGCCTTACTTCTCACCCCCACAGGGACCTCTGTTATCTTAGTGAGGATGTGTTTTTAATACTGTTAACCCCTTCCTCTTTCACACCCTCCCTTACCTTCCCACCACTGCTGAGTGGCCTGGGACTTGTTTAAAGCTTTCGTTTCCCACCACCACAAGGGATCAGGCAACAGTCAACCAGTGATGCATGTTGTTTCCCTTCCAAGCAGATGGTGGGGGTGGTGGGCACTCACTCCCCACACCGGACGATAGTGGCCGTTGAATGGGAATCTCAAGCCCAGTTCCTTGGCTTTCCTCCTGTACTGAGGCTAGTCCCAGCTGTTCTAATGGGGATGGGCAGCTGGAGCAGCAAAAATGAGTGTTTGGGGGTGATGTCACGTCTCTTCGTTCACCGGAGCCCATCTTCTGACTTCCCATGGGAGTGCCATGAAGACCCTCTTGAACACAAGCAGACCAAACCCGACTGTGTTGGTAGCAAAGATGGGAGCTTTTGTTGAGAACATGCTGAGCTTTCAGGAGGCAAAGCTGTAAAGCGATATACCACTGATGCAAAGAACTGGAGCTGGTTCTCAAGCCATCACTCTTCCCTTGGCTGGAACAACTGGACAGATCCTTTTATGATGTCTATGGGGACCTGTGAGGTTGTCTTAGTTCTTTGATGAGCTCAAGTATGCATGACATGTGTGTGGGCATGCGCGCACCCGCGTTGTCTTAGCTCTGTGATGAAATCGAATGGGAGGAGGGCTTCTGAGTACTTTGATGAGATTGTGTGTGTGTGTGTGTGTGTGTATTTGTATATAGCCATTTGTTGCTGGAAATAAAAATCTGGTATGTCAAAGCTGCTTGTTGTAGGGAGTGGGGGTAGTGAGGTACCCTTGCTCCATTGTACAAACAGGTCCCCTAAAGCTCTGCTTCCCAGCTACCTGTGCTGTCCCCACCCTGTTCACTCCCTGGTTCCTGTGCAAGCACTGGACCACATTCCAGAACAATCTGAGACACGCCTTCCTTACTGGGAGTTGCCAGGGTGATGCTGCTGTGCTTTGGGGTTCTGCTTGGCCTCTTTAATTCCAGTGAGAGGAGAAAGTCCCCCCTCCTACCCCACTCCAACTAGGTGCATTAATGGGCTTCTCTAAGACCACAGGAAGACCCTCTCTAAGGCCTGTGGTAGGGGGATTCTCACATTTGAAAAACCACTTTAGTAGTAGGGTAGAATAGTGACTACACTTTATTTAGTGGGGTGGGTATTTGAGAAAATTTGAGCGCACAATTAAGGACAAGCAGGGTGGCCCATCATTGCTTTGCTCATTCCCATCTGGATGCTTCCTTGCCCTTAAGTTTCTATTTTCCTTCCACCACAATACCCTAGTCTATTTATTAACTAGCAAGAGGGCAAATTGGGGTCCTGATCTTGCTTCCAGTGGTGAGTATTAAAGCCATATTCTATTATCTGGAAATCCCTAGCAGAATTTCGGTTTCTTCTCTGTCAGAGATACAAAAGGAAAAACAAATCAAACCATCAATTAAGGGTCATGCATCAATTAAAAAAAAATAAAATTTCCAGATGGAAATGAAATCTAATTAGACAATAAAAGAAATTATAAAACGGTTCAGCAAGAATGAGATTTTTAAAGTATGTTTCAGTTCTGTGTCAGGGTTGGGAGAGGGTGGGAGGGGATGTGGAGGAAAGGCCATAGGAAGCAGATGAGTTGGCTCCTGTGGGTCTGAGGTGAATGGCTGCCCCCTCCCTGGGTCACTGTCTTGAGTGTGAGTCAGTTATAATCCGCCTTGGACTTTACATCTCCACTTGTAACAACTGGGTTGGGAGACACCCTGTCTGCTTTCATTTTAGAATGTTGAAACTAATTTTTGTAATAAATGTTTATTTTTCACATTGACTTTGTTTAAATCCTGAATTAAAAGAATTGGGACTTCCAGAGTGACTTGGACATTCAAAGTCTTCCTGATAGTTTTGTTGATGAAGAGGTAAGGGACAGGGCCTCCCTGGTGGCCTACGGGTTAAGTCTCAGTGCTACCACCACAGAGGCCTACTGAGAAGGCCTGAGTTTGATCCCTAGTCAGGGAGCTAACCCACATGGTGCAACAGACCTCTCCTATTACACCCACTGCTCCTCTTAGTAGTATGTTTCAGTAGATCTGCCTATTCTGCTCTCCACTCTGTCTCTAGTGAATCCTCTCAAACCACCCGCCTCCGCCGCACCTCTGGCCTACACCCTAGTTCTTATATGCAAAAATAGATAAATAAAATCTTTCAAAAAAAAAAAAAAGATAAGGGATCTCTTTCCCTGAAGCCCCATATTCATGTTTTAATTCAACTTACCTTTGGCCTATGCTTGAATAGGAATGACTCAATTGGACATTTCTTACCTTAAAGGAACACAGAGGTATTGATGTTCTGAGACTGGACCCATGGTGGTCAGGGATAAAACAAGTGTTATGGATGTGTTTTCTGTTCATGTCCTAACTATTTACAGATCAAGGCGGGGCTGGGGGATTGGAGAGGAATGAAGCTGGTTCATTTTTTTTTTTTTTTTAATTTTTTTTTAATAGAGGCATGTTTTATTTATTTATTTATTTGTTTGTTTGCTTGTTTATACATGCACTGGGTACAGTCAGAAGCGCGGGAGGGTGAGAGAATTCACCAGAACCAGAGCGAGGAGCAGAGCAGGCAGAAGCAAAGTACACTGCTGAGGGGAGCAGCGGGCGGCAGGAGAGGTCTGCGCCATGTGGGACCCTCCTCTGGTGGCCGGGGAGCAGCCGGGGATTGAACCGGCGCCGCAGAGGCCGCGGGCAGCTTCGCAACCCAGCGCTCAACCGCTGCGCCACCTGGGAGGCCCGAAGCTGGTTCATTTCTGAAGAAGGAAACAGTATGTTTGTTATCCCTTCCTAGGCACTTGCTGTAAAAACTTAAAGAAATGGAAAGTTTTTCTCTTGGTAGGTAACTTACATGATTACTATTATCCATTACCTTACTAGATATTATTATCCCCATTTTGTAGATGGGGATGAGAGGCACACAAGTGCTGAGAACTTGTCCAAATTTACCCAGTCAGTATACTGCCCTCTTCAGTGACCCTGGGTGGATGGAGAGGAATGTAGGAGGGTGGGTTCAGATCTGAACTTTCTCTGTAGAACCCGTGTGTCCTAGTAGAGAGGGCGCCTTGAAAAGTAATGATGAGGTGGGCCTCCCTGGTGGCACAGCGGTTGAGTGCTGGGTTGCGAAGCTGCCCGCGGCCTCTGCAGCGCCGGTTCGATCCCCGGCTGCTCCCCTGCCACTGGAGGAGGGTTCCACATGGCGCACAGACCTCTCCTGCCGCCCGCTGCTCCCCTCAGCAGTGTACTTTGCACCTTCTGCCTGCTCTGCTCCCTGCTCTGGCTCTGGTGAATTCTCACCCTCCCGCGCTTCTGACTGTACACAGTGCATGTATAAACAAAACAAACAAACAAATAAATCATAAATAAATAAAAATACATGCCTCTTTAAAAAAAAAAAAAAAAAGAAAAGTAATGATGGGGCCTCCCTGGTGGTACAGAGGTTAAAGTCTCAGCTCTATCGAGCTATCACCAGCCACTATAACATGAGTTCCATCCCCTGCCAGGGATCTGACCCACATGGTGCAGCAGACCTCTCCTGCTGCTCCCCTCAGCAGTGTATTTCAGTGGATCCACCTGTTCTGCTCCCCGCTCTGTCTCTGGTGAATTCTCTTACCACCCCCCCTTCCCGCCCCCACCATCCCTGGCCTACAACCCAGTTCTTGTATGCATAAATTAAAATAAATCTTATTTTAAAAAAAGTAATGATGGTCACCTGGGTTTCCTCTGCACTGTTACTAAATGTCACTTGAGCTTGCTATCCCAGCAGGATGTACAGGACAGAGACTAAATATTGACAAAATGGAGGGCCTATGACTGTCACCTTCTGGAATGAAGGATAGATATTTGCATTTTCCAAGTGAAAACCTGGAGGATTGTGTATCTTGATTACAAGACAATGGATTAGAAGGGACAGCAACTTCCTATGCTTACAGACTGAACATCCTAAAAGATGTCAATGGGCAGAAACGAATAACTCCCTCTTATAAATTGAAATCAACAGTGAAAAGTATAAGCTTCTGCCTTTGGATCAAAGAGGTTAATGCTTCATGTATAAAGCTAGGAAGCTGTAGAATATCTGAAACTAGGGAGGCACTTGTTGCCATGTATTAAGTTCTGTTTCAGGTGCCACCCTTTAAGACAGTTATAGATCAATGAATATTTTCAGAGGAAGCACTCTAGATGGCGAGGGGACTTAAAGTGATGCCATAGAGACCCATTCATGGTGTTGTACACCTGAAATTAATGTAGCATCATTATGTCAGTTATAACTCAATTTAACAACTAAGTGCAGAGGACTAGGGGAATGGGGAACTATCCCATCTAGACATTTCTGAATGCTAACCCAGAGAATGAAAGACTCAAGCAAGGCAAAATTATTCTTCAGGTATTTGAAAGTTGCTATATGAATGGCCGCAAGGGAGAAAAGTAGGACTAATGATGGATTCAAAAAACACTGGATATAATTCAGAATGTGCCTTCAGAGCTTTGAAGGGGGAGTGTCGTGGAGTGGAAAGGATGCTAGTTTCAGAGCATCCTTGAAGAAATTGCCTCAGTTTGTTTTGTTGTCTAAAAAGGTTGATACTGGGCCTCCCTGGTAGCTCAAGGGGTTAAGTCACAGCACTATGAAGCTATCAGCAGCCACTGCAGCCTGAGTTCCATCCCAGCCAGGGATCTGACCCACATGGTGCAGCAGACCTCTCTGCTCCTCTCAGCAGTGTATTCCAATTGATCTGCCTGTTCTGCTCCCCACTTTGTCTCTAGTGAATCCTCTTACCCCCGCCCCCACCTCTGGCCTACACCCCAGCTCTTGCATGCATAAAAAAATAAATCTTAAATAAATAAAATGATGCCATAGACTCTTAGAGAAGTAAATGAGGCAAGATCTATATGGCACTTTACCTCACACAATAAGAGCTGCTCATGGATGCTTTCAGGAGGCATTTTAGGCCAGAGGTTGGCAAATTTTCAGTAAATGTCCAGAGAATCATTTTATTTGACTTTGCAGGTCATACAGTCTGTGAGTTTGCATTTGTAGTGGGAGGTCTCTAGAGAAAACACAATGATGTGGCTGTTTCAATGAGGCCTTTTAAGGGCCATGTAATGTGGATTTTACATAAGAGACTTAACTTGATTTTTTTTTCATCATTTAAATACATTAGCCAGGGCCTCCCTGGTGGCACAAGGGGTTAAAATGCAAACTATGAAGCTATCCGGAGCCACACAGCACGAGTTCCATCCCCCGGCCAGGGAGCTACCCACATGGTGCAGCAGACCTGTCTCGCCCGCTGCTCCCCTCAGCAGTGTATTTCAGTCATTCTTCCCCCTCTGTTTCTGGTGAATCCTCTCACCCACCCCCCACACCTCTGGCCTGTAAACCAGTTCTATATGCATTAATAAATAAATCTTTAAAAAAAAAATAAAAACATTAGCCATTCTTAAATCCCAGGCTACACCAAAATGTAGGATGGGCTGACAGCTGGTTTTTCTTCACAATTGAAATGGAAAGAAAGCCTCCAACCCCCACTTGTTTTTGAATCCAGACTTTTAGATTCCTGTGGTGCAGGTTAATAACATCCTGGGTGGGGGAGCTGAGAAACTCAGAAGATCAAGTGGGTGGGGACAGTCGGACAGGAATGAGGGTGCAGTCATTGGAGCTGCAGGAGGTAGAGTGTGACCAGGAAGCCCTGATGTCAGTGACAAGCAATAGGGAGGAGACTGTGCCTGGGGAGGGGACGTATGCATTCAGTTATTATAGAACCATGAAAACCCAGTTTCTGTTTCTAGATGATACTGATACCGGAATTGTCAGGCCTAGTCTCCCAGCCAGGAATGGATCCCAGGCTGCAGGGCAGCGCTGAGCCCCAGCCGCTAGACCCCCACGGGTTGGTGTCTCACGAAGCCGCAGCAGGAACTTCGCAGACTCTCAGGCAAGCAAGCAAGAAGAGGCAGGTTTGTTTAGAAGAAGAAAAAGTTTATTGAGGAGAAAAAGAGTAGAAATAAAGTGGGACTCCCAGGTCAGGAAACCATGCCTGGGAGGGGCAAGGAAGCCAAAGTGGAGTCGTGTCCCAGGGAATATAGACCTTCTTTCCCTCATTATTCTAAAGCTCCACCAGTCTCTTTGCGATTGGTTAGTTCTCCGCTGTCTCACTTAATTTGCTACTGAGTGGGGGATCTTCACATTCCTTATCTAACAGCTTTTTCTTTTCCCATTTGTTGCATCTTCAAATTTATGGCCCAGTCCTCTGGATGGGCATCCCTGCATTGAAGTTAAACAGCTGCCCTTCTAATGTGACCATAAATTAAACCACTCTCCATTTCTCCAATCTCCGCCTCCCTTTACCACCTGAAGGAAACCAGGACCAGCGTTAACAATGTTGTCCTTGGTCCTGAGATGTTTGTTTTTCCCAGTGGAATGGGTTACATTCCCTTGGTTGTCCTTATCTCTGAAGCCTCCCTAAATTCTCCGAGGTCCCCTCCTGCAGTGTCCCTAAAACTGCCTAATTCCTAGCTTGCCCTGTGTCTCAATACTTAGAACTTTTAGAGTAAACAACATGAAAATAATAATCAACAGGGTTTGGTCATAAATCTATTATGGGGCCTCCCCTGGTGGTGCAGCGGTTGAGCGCTGGGCTGAGAGGCTGCCCGCAGCCTCTGCAGCGCCAGTTCGTTCCCCGGCCGCCAGCGAGGGTCCCACACACACACAAAAAATAATAAAAATTAAAAAAATAAATAAATCTATTATGACTTATGACTCCTCGGCGGATCCCTGAGGCCAGGGAGCATATATATGTTTATTGTAGGCGCCAGGATCCAGCATACCCTGACAAGCAGTTAATGGCGATTGAATAAATACTAAGTCCTCTATGTTGTCTGTCACCAGCATCATCATTTCACATCACTTGTATACAAACCAAATGAGAATCAGCAGAAGAGAGCTGGGGAAGAGAGAACCCAGATCCCGAACTGTAGGATGCTGGCCCCACAAACATTTTGTTCTTGGTGTGTGGGCTGT